GGGGTTGGAACCACGGTTGCTCTGTGGGGTCCAGGTTCTCTTGAGCCGCACGTTACCACTGCGCCACAGAGCTGGCCCCCCCATCGTCTTTGAGGAAACTTCGAGAATAGGAGGCAGACACTAAAGGCAGACAAATGTTGACAAGGGAACTGGTGCTGCTGAGGATGTGAACCGGCGGGCCTGGCATGAGCCCCGGGTGGAGACACAGATCCATCGGGAGCACTGGGAAGAGCACCTCAGTCCCCAGGGGCCAGGGTGGCTTCTCTAGGAGATAGTCACGGAGACGCATCAAGCGTTCGAGCTTGTCCAGACCAGCTAGCTGGGCCATCTAAGTGAAGACGGGACCCTGTGTGTTAACTCAGGCCATTCCGCGACTTGTGACGGCCCTGCCCATAATCCTCGTGCTGAGGCGAAGAATGAGGCTGGCCGGGAGAGGCCAGTTAAAACCCCGAGGCCGGGTTGCAGGATGGTTTGAAACTGACCATGTACGATTGCCCATGGGTGCGGGACGGCACAATGACCTAGATGGAAAATCTCAAGATAAAACTTGGGCTGCCAGACTGAAACCGTAAGAACCCCATTCGATACTGATGCAGAGGAGAGGGAAGAGCAAGGGAACCAGGCGGAACGTGAAGACGGCTGAGCACTCTGTCACGGTGCCGCCAAGCACCCCCACGTCTGCGAGGCGCTGGCACTCTATGGCACAAACTGCCCCTTCGTCTTCACACCCCACCCCAACATGCAGAACTTCCCTTTTCCTAACCTTTCCTCTGGATCTGAGAGCTAGCGAGGACAGCAGCCCTGAGACCTCGGAGGTGCCAGTGTGACGTGGCGGTGTCCCATTCTATAGACAAGGACACCAACCCTCTGGCGAGGAGAGTGACTTGTCCAATCACACAGCGAGCTCAGAACCCAGGCACTGGCTCTCCTCCCAGCTCCACCTTGTCAGGCTGGAGGAGAGGGGAGCCTCACGCTACACCAGGGAGAAATGATCTGCCTCGCACCCTCTCTCCAACCCCAAGGCCAGCGACCTGGCTCAGGTCCTCAGCATCTAGGACAGTTGTCAGTCACCCAGCCACACATGCTGGGGGCCTGCGGTGCACCAGGCGCTGACCCAGCCCTGAGGGAAAGGCAGGGGATACAGCAGACAGACTGACAGGCTTGCGTGGAGCTCGCATTTGCACCGTGCACACTGAGACCTGCTCCATCCTCCCAGGCGGCCCTCCCGCCTCCCTCCTTCAGCCGCAGCTGGCTGAGCTTCCTGATCACCTACAGGGCCGCTGTCACCACCTAGGGGCTGGAGGACTTGGGCTTGGGCCCCACATTTGGGGGAGACCTCATTTGACTTTTATGGTTTTTTCTGAATAGGAATTGTGGCATGGGACGCCGCATCGGAAGTGTTAGTTTGATCAATATGAAATGCAGCTAACCTTTGTAAACTTTGCTAACTGTCCTTGGGTATTCCGTTATTTTTTTTCTATAACCAAAAGCCTCCAAAAAATAGATGTTTTGGGGACCAGTGGATGGAGTAATGGTTATGTCGCTGGACTCTCATGTAGCCAACTATGTTTCGGGTTCCGGACCTGCTGGTTTTAAACTCATGCTGGGCGTGTGTGTGCACCTAGAGTCCCAAGAGAAGAATGGAGGAGAGGGAATTACGGCGTGGCCATCTCTCCTGGGAGGTGGCTTCTCACTTTCTGTCTCTCTGTCTCTGTCTCTCTGGCGAGCATACATGCCCTGTGGCAAAAATCTTTTAAAAACAAACAAACAAACAAACAAAAAACAGATGTTTGCCGTCTCTCTGGGCCCTGATGAGGCCCAGAGTTGCCAGTTCCCTGCTGATTTGCCCCCAGCCTCCCCTGCCAGGGCCGTTCCTCCCTTGTGTTCTTATGTACTAGTGGAGAAATGAATCCTCCTGAACAGCAAGAGGACCAGGGTTCCAGTCCTGGCCCTGCCAGTTACCGAGAGGCTTTGAGACAGTGTCCTCCCCTTTGTGGCCTCAGTTTCTCCATCTGTAAAATGGGAGCTGGGTGGGTCAAGGGTCCCTTCCCACATACCCGGCTTCAGCTCCCCAAGGACAAGGTCTGCGACTCCCCACAAATTCAAGACCATCAGGTGCACAGTGTAGGTCTCCAGGGAACATGTGGAGAACACGTTTCCAAGTCACTGGCCCTGCTGGCCACAGGGCCAGCCATACAGCAGCCGGTTTCTCTGACCACTCTGGCTGCTCAGTGGCTCCTGGGCCAGCCCCTGGACCACAGGTGGGGCTGGGCAGCCCCCCTTTTGGCTCTGGTCCAGGGCCTTCCAGCAGACTTACTCTGGCTCAGAGCAGTACTGCTGGTGGACCCAGGGCCTTCTCCTCCACACTCTCTTCCCTCTCACTTCTCAAAGAGTGGCTCCTGGATAGCAGAGGGGCCACACCTGGGAACTCATTCAAATGCAAGGTCTTGGGGCCAGCAGGTGGCACAGAGATTAAGGTAGCTGGGTCTCACATGGCCAGCTGAGGAGTCTGGGTCCCAGACCTGGCAACTTGAAAATCACACGAGGTGAGTGTGAGTGCATACCCCAAATCCCGAGAGAATGGAGGAGAAGGGATTGCGGTGCGGTCATCCTCCATGGGGTGATTTCTCAGTTTCTCTCTGTCTCTGGCAAGCACAGGCACCCTACAACAAAAACTAAAAGAAGACGAAGAGATGAAGAAGAGAAGAAGAGGAAGAAGAAGAAGGACAGAAGAAAAAGTCGAAGAAGGCAGCAGGGTCTCAGGTCCCACGCCAGACCTGCTGGGTTGGAATCCGTATTCCAGGAGCCAGGAGTACATGCCCACAACCCGGGTTGGCTGAGACTGGGGTGGGCATGGCATGTAGACCCAGTTGGGGTGCCTGTCTCTCTGTCTCTCTCTCCTAGGAGAAATACATTAAAATTTTTAAAAAACTACACTCTAATAAAATTTGCTATCCTTTGAGCATTTGAGAAGATTGGATGTGGGAGGTGCCCTGTCCCCTCAGGGACCGAGGGCCCCTTCAGTGGGGGGTACAGCCTCAGTAAGTTCCTCTGTTCTGAAAGTGAGAAAGGAACCCAAGGCTCTTCCCTCCCCTGCCCTGCCCCTGCTTAACCTCCTCCCTCTAACACACGTACACAGTCACACATATGAATGCTTGCCTGTGCACGCTTGCCCAAGGTCATGCACCGATGCACACGTGCTCAAGTGCACACATGAGCTTGCGCACACACACACACATACACTGCAGGCCCTGGCAATGCCCTCCAGTGAGTCACAGGGTGACTCAGGCACACCCCTCCTCTCCTGATCCTCAAGGGGGAGACAAGGAGGAGGGACAGGGGAGACGTCTCAAAGCCAAACCTAAGAATGGGACTTTGGACCCCAGCCTGGAGCTCCCAGGGTCAGGGCAGGAGTTCGGGGTGCGCATCCGTGCTAGCCTGGAACACGGGCAAGTCCCCACCGGGACGAGTCCTTTCTTCCTCGCAAGCGCCCTCCCTTGTGGTCCCTCTCCTTCCCAGGCCCAGCAAGACCTTCTCCAGAATTCACCAGGACATCGTGGGAAGGTGGGACAGTCCCTCACAGACACAGGCCCAGGATGCCACACCCCTGGGACACCCACCGCTCTCCTCCATAGCCTCCCCGCGACTTCTGGGTGGGAGCCATTCAGACCAGCGGCCAGCAGTCACTAGTCACCATCAGCCTGACCACAGTGACGTCACCCTCGTGAATCCGGGCCTCACTTGCTCTGCACCTGCGAGCATGGGGTGTCTGAGCAGACAGAGCAGAAGAGTCAGAGCAGGGGTCCAAACCAGGGAGGGGCTGCAGGTTCTGGGGAGCCGGCGACGAACATGGAGTGACAGGACCAGGTGAGGACGGCAGGTGCGTGGGCAGAGCTCCCATTCTGGGTCAGGAGCCCTGGGGGTGGTGTGACCACACAGCCCCCTCACTGAGATCTGGGCAAGTCATATCCCACAGCTGCCTCGATTTCTCCATTTGGGTCATCTCCTGCCATCATTAACTATTCCGGGGCTCAATAATATACCAGGACTCAGAAAAGAAAGGGGGGTGCCTGAGGCCCTCCTCAGCCAGACTGAGCAATGGGGAGGGACCCTGGGAAGACGGACACTCCTTTTCTTGCCTAAACCCCTGCCCCACACCAGGCTGCCAGGGAAAGACTCCCAGCGTCCTGGCTCCCGCCGCCCTCCCAGATGAACCCCGGGCCACTCTCCTCGCCCACTCTGCAGGGCTGGGGGGGCAGGCAAGGTGGGCAGCCCTGGGTCTGGTTCTTCTTCCCAACTGCCTCCCAGACCCTGGCAGGTGGCCCCAGGCGGCCCCCGCACCCCTGCTTTCCGCCTCGTTCGCAGAAACATTCCTACATCTGTCACGGAAGATGGCCTCTCCGTGTCCGTCACCCAGGAAACGCAAACACACGCTGCCGCGCTCCGACCTTCTTCCCACAGTCTGGGAGCGCGCCGGCGCCCCGCCCTCACCCAGAGCTGGGCGGAGTGCGGGGAAGCTCCCCCATCTCAGCGGGGAAGGTCTGACTCACAGCTCTCTCGCCTGGCCTCCCTCCTCACACACACACACACACACACACACACACACACACACACACAGCGAGACACAGATACACACACACATGCACACGCGCTCCCCC